TCAACTTCTTATTATTCCAGTCAAGCAAAATATATGAATGAGATTATTTCCTTATCCTAATTAGATTATAAGACTGAAAAGCAGAGAAATATAAAAAACCACTCTTTTTTAGGATTGAGAATGCATTTTTTCAGATATTGTATAATAATATTACAATCGAGATAAATATCAGTAAAATTTCTTTAACTAGGTATGGCTATAGAAAGATATCGAAAGTTACTTAACAAAACTGAAAAGCTATATAAAAATTTGGAGTCAACTATTAGTCATCTTTTTCTGTATAGATGAATACAAAATTAAAATTGAAAGAAAGAAAGCATTGAGCAAGACACTGAATCTGAGTAGATAATAAATACTTCAGATAGTTATAAGAAAATAATTAAGAGTATGAATAGATAAATTCCTTAGACAATCAAGAAGAAAAAGGATATCTCAAAAGGGTTGACTTCTAATGAGAAGAAGTTTTTAGCAGAGATTCTTTGAAGGATATGAAGCATTTTTAATTTTTTTTTTTCTTTTCATTTTTATATAGTGTATTTACACATTTTTAGATATTCACCTTTCCTTTTATTTTTCCTTTCCTCTTTTGTAGTTTCTTGAATTTAGTAGAAAAAATATATACTTAAGTTTTTTCAGACCATTAGAGGCTTAAGTTTTTATTCAAAAAATTTTATAAATAAGTAAGGGAAGATAGAAGAGATAAATGAAGATAAGCTTCAAGTTGTTTTAATGAAAATATAAAGACTTTATTAGCAAGGAAGTGATTAATTACTCTATAAATATAGTAGATTCTTTTTTTTTTTCATTATTTTTCAATATAAACTAACCATTCTTGATATGTTAGGTTTCTTTGTAAATGGCAATAAATCAATTAGTAAAAAGTTATAGACTTCTTTAGATAACTTTAATCGTATATTAAAAAATATATATATATATCTTTTGTTGCAAATAAAGCGACCGACTCTGCAAAGAATTAAAAAAGAATTTATTATGCAATCCCTTAATATAAGAACTAATTAATTAAAACTAGTCTTTATTTGTAATTTTTGCATTACACCATCCAATTAAAATACCCAAGTTATATATATATATATATAGTATATATACGGTTCTCAAGATTTAACTTTCAGTTTATAATGAGCGGGAAAAAATCAAAGCCTTTCGGTTTTGGATTTTCAACACAGGGATCTGGAGTTAAACCCAGAACTTTACTTGAATCGGAAGACCAGCTTCCTTCAAAGCCACTAGCTTTAGACTACTTCTCTGATGAGGATTCTAAACCAAAGAAAAGAAAATTAATTACTCTGGACAATGATTTTGAAAATGAGACAACCAATCAAAATAGTTCTAAAAGTTTACAGGACGTTAACGATTTCGTTGGAGATTTGGAAGACGATAGACCTCTTCCGCGGACTTCAACTGGTTCGGGTTTATAGTAACCTTAGGGATAAAAATTTTTTTAAAATTAAATGTTATCTCTAACGTTCTCTTTAATTAGGAATTCGAGGTTTTGTTCCTCAGGGATATAAGACAGCTACGGAATCTTCTGACACATTTAAGGAGCAAGAAGAAACTTCTAAAGAGCAAGCTGATGACGACCCCCTTGATGCTTTTATGCTGGATATCGATAACCAAGTTCAGAAACAGAGCCAAGACAAGTCTCAGCAAGAAAAGGTATATCAATCATTTCCTTTTGAAATGATTAGTTAATTGGAAAAATTACTAAACGTTATTTAGATTCGTAGGGACGACATTGAAGAAGAAGATTTTGTCGAGAGCTATGTCAATCATATGAAAAAGAAAGGTATAGATGTCGGTAAAAGTCAAAGGCCAATTGAAAAAGATGAGGCATGTACTTTCATAAACGTCTTACATTTGTATGTTAGATTCTTCTAAGTTGAAATAATAATTCCAAACATTTCAGAATATCAATTCCGATGAAGAAGTCTATGCTACAGCAAGAGCGATTGATGCACAGCTCGAGTAAATATTACGCAAATTCTTGGGTTCCTTAGCATTTTATTTTAATAATCAAAATTCCTGACATCAAATTCTAGATATGATTCTGATGACAATCCTATTATCGAACAAAAGCGCAAAGATATCGAACCACTTCCACCAGTTGGTGAGTATAACCCTTCGATGTTGATGTTCCTTTTCAAGACTTATCCGGAAAGCAAGATGCATTAATGGTTCTTTTTTACTAGATCATTCCCAAATTGAATATCCCGAAATTGAAAAATTTTTCTATGAAGAGCATCCAGATATTGCCAATTTGTCCGATGAACGTGTTAGAGAAATTCGTCGAGAACTTGGTGACTTTTTATTATAATGTTTACGCGTTCGAATTGATTCTGACGAGAAGTAAATAGTAATTTTTATTTTTATTTTATTGAACCGTAGATATGAATGTGTCAGGTGTTGATGTCGCGAAACCATGCATTTCATTCGGGCATTTTGGTTTTTAATTCAACGGTTAATTCATTCATTCTTGTGAAAATCATTCTATCTAATATGAGGCACTTTCTTTCTTTTCTTCTGTTTTTTTTTTTTTCCGTTTAATTATAGTCAAGATTTTGCAACTGTTTTAACGAGTTGCTTAAATTCGGCATTCGGGTTATTAAGTCAAGACCTTTATCCACATTTTTTCGCCACGGACGGAAATGAAGGGACAGAAAGAACAGTGGAGAGGAATGTAATGCTAATAAAATTGTTACCGGATATTGCGAGAGCAACCAATATAATAGTTCACGATACGCCTAATAGGTTTCTTGAGGTAATTAATTATGTGACGAATTTCTTCAAGCACACTTTTCGCGCACTCGTGAGCTTTCATTTTAACGGTACCAATCATTTTACAGATTATCAAAGACACAAAGGAATTGCATGCTTTTAGTGCGATAATCTACTCTTCGTTTGACAACCTCTAGGACCATCATTGCCTGCGAAATGTGGGCACGTATCGTTATATCAATTTAATTTGAAAGGTTCTTAAGTTAATTAAATTCAAATAAAAAAAGTTGTTTTACAAATATTTGAAATCTGTACAGGAGAATGCTTTCCTATCCGGATATAAGAATGTAATGAAGGAAATTAATTATACAGTATACAATAAATTAAGATGGTTGGGTAGTTGATAATTTGTTGGATACATCGTGATTTCATAATTCCACATGAATTATAAACACAAATCCGATAGACATATGCTTTTGGGCGGTCGGAACCACGCACTAACCAAAAACAGCTAACCTACTTTGGACATATGAAAGTCATCTATTTTTTTTCAATTCCTTTAAAAATTGACATAACAAACTTCTAACACGTATGTTTTCAAATCAAAACATTTTCCAAAGGTCATAATGTTCATCATTAGCGTATTACAGAACCTTTTGTACAAGTCGTTTCGCATTTTCACCGTCTTGACCATTGCGATAAACCGGTGGATTGCGTTCGTCGTCCAGTTGGCCATGATGTACCTTTTCTTTTTACTCAACCACTGTCTCTCACTTTCATTGCTCAAAATGCTAAAGTACTCTTCTTTTCACGGCGATTCAGGTTTTTCATATGGAATTCATTGTTGATAGTTATTGGCTGTGTTTCTACTGTTCAGATGATAGTTGGTTTCGTCTTTGACGTCACGAAAGTAACTTCAGGAAAAGCTTCGTCTAATGACCAAGCAACCGAGGAAAAGCCGAGGAGCGCGATTAATGAATACTGGAATAATCGAAGGAGAGCCTATCAAGAAGTAGTAGATAATCTGTATGTGAAATATATGGCAAGTCTGGTGGACGTCCAACAACAGCAACAAGAATATTGGCAATGGCAACAACCTCAGTATATTTACCCACAGCAACGATACTACAACTCGATGAATGTCAAAGGAAATAATTATGTCGACGAGGGAAGCATAAACGGTGATGAAGCTGTCTTGGCTTCTTCAAATGTCAATTATATTTCCGAATAGCCCTGATCCATGGATTTTAGGGAAATGAATTTTCGTTTATCGCGATTGCTTGACGACAAAAATGTGCTTTACATTCATAGATTCGAACGGAAAAGCTAGCTATCCTTATTTGATTTCATTCTTAGTAGATTTCCCTTGAGTTAAGTGGGAAGAGACATCGTCCGTGTATTAAAACATTCCGAATGTGTTTCCCTACTTCAACAAAATATTTTTAATCAATATTTTATGTTTTCCATCATATATGTTAAGTAAATCACTACCGAGTGGAAAAACTTTTCAAAGAATTGTCATCTCAAACTAAATTTGATTCATTGGATCAAGAGCAAATTTTTTTGCTCGAAAAATTAGAGGCAGTTTGTTCAATCTAGATCAAAATTATTAGTTTTAAAGACAGCTAAATCCTAGACAACTTTGATTTTAATAAAATGGGTTATTTCTAAACCGCTAACAGAAATCATTTTTATATAATATAAAATGAAGAAATATTCCGACCATTATTAATACACGAAGTTTTCATCCGAATTGTGCGCATTCAGGTTGAAAAACTCCTACTCAACAATTATTTCTGTGAAAACACCTAAGAATCCCAACGCCTCTTGCGCTGAGTATTTGTCGAGGGTTGTGAGGCTGAAGAGCTAGAGCGCAAGAGACCCAACCCAGACTCTGCGGAGGAGGCTTTCTGAAAGCTCATTTGAAACCGAGAAGCCGTGCTACCAGAATTTCCACGGCCGGAAGTACTCGTGTCAAGTTGCGGAGGTGGTGGTATTTGCGCGCCACTTCCAATGCCTGATCTTCCCCCGAGAGGTATTGCATTGGAGCTGGAGCCTACCGATCCGCGAGCTACGTTAAAGAAATGTGGTGCTCTCTGTCGTAAGAATTTCATAACAGGGTAAAGTGTGAAATAAGAGATAAATGATACTGACATCCTCTACCGCGGCCTCTTCCATATCCACCTCTTCCTCTACCACGACCTCTTATCATGCTCCTTGATTTCCTAAACCTAGCATTCTGTAAAATGTAATAAAGTAAGCATCGGTAATTAAAATTTGACATAAATTTACAAACGTTCACCTTCATGGCAAGATTCATTAAAGCATCAGGTACAGTCTGCCCCGAAGATTCTAGATTTCGAACCAAATCTCCAGCGAATTTGTCTTCTTTCTCAGTGATAAGAGTGTACGCCGTTCCCTTTTCACCTATTGGAATTGTTCAAGCATCTATTTTACAACATACGAAACTTTATTATTATTAATGACCTACCAGCTCTGCCGGTTCTTCCAATACGATGTACATGCGAATCAATATCACGCGCAATGTCGTAGTTGATTACGGTCTTAACGGCCTTGATATCCAGACCTCTTGCTAAGGTTTATTCAGAATTCAAGTATTAAAACCCGTTTTTAAAAATTAACACAAATAAATTACTTAAACTCACCAGCAACATCGGTCGCAACCATGATCGGGAATTTGTTATTCTTAAAATCTTTCAACACCTTATCACGGTCCAATTGCATCATATCTCCATGTAAGGCACCGCCTATAACTCTAGGAGATTAAAAATCTGATGGAATAAGAAAACTTCGCAAAAGAAGATAAAACTTACATTGATATCCAGATTGCTGAAGATTAATTGATAATTCTTCTACGCCCCCTTTGCGACTAACAAAAATGAGAACGCTACCCTCTTACAAAAATTAGAAAAAACATTTAAACTCTTAAACCGTGTATAAAAATAAAATTGAATGCAAAGAAAAAGAAAAAGAAAAATCAATAAATAAAAAGAATAAATTTTTAGAACATACCAACACATACCGCCACCAAATGTGACATCAACCATTCCCACTTATACCCATCGTCGGCCAAAATTT